TATCCAAAAAGAAAAAAGAAACAATTAACTAATCCCTTATTCATTTAATTAAATGGTTAATGTAGTTGTGAACAAGACTGTTATTTGCTGGAAAAAAAAATGAAATTTCGAAAAGAAAATGTCTGAATTCCTAACTATTTAATCAATAGTTTACTAAATTGAATCATTTTGTTAAGTATGGAAAAAAAGAAAAACATTGTGGGATAAAGTGGATTTACATCACATATGGACTGATTTATCTAAATAAATTATATTAATTAATTTCAGCTTTTCATCTTTGTTGTTCTTGATTTATAAACCTTTGTTAAAAAGACTGATTGAATGTAGATTAGATCACTAATACATAATGTATATATACAAATAACTAGACATAATAAGTAATTATTCAAGAATAAAATTTCAGTTTTACTCTTTTACATTTAAAATAGTACAAAGAGATGGATGTCAGGAACTAATTTTATCTAGGAAACGTATAAATATCAAACAGTATTACACGACTGATTCATTTGAATTTAAAAATTTATATTAGAATGTGCATATAAACAGTGATAGGCAAATTAAGATGTGTAGTTAGTATATAAGTCATTGACTATCAAAGTGCCTCATGTTTCTTTTCCTTCAGACCTTAAGTTTTGAAGTTGTCTCGTACTTTGTATTCCAAGAATTAATTCATTCTTCTTAAATCATATCGCCTGCGCTTTGGGTTTCCCAATACTAATGATATCATTACTATTTTGACTACCCTGATATTCAAATTGATAATTTCATATTTTTGTGCCGATATGGTGTGGGAACTTGGACTGAAGTATATATATATGGGCGGCTCTATGTTAGTTATCGTTGACTAACTGAGTACAAATGTATAAAATGACAAATAAAGCATGACCAAAAATAGATTTATATACATATATATACTGTACCTTAGTTTCATTTCAAGAACAGCCAGATAAATAAACCTCATTATGTGAAATGAATTTTTCAATTTTGTTTTCGAAACTCTGTGATGACACAAATTGGAAACTAGTTATTTAGTTGTAATAAATTCAATTCACTAACCAATCAAGGATTACTTTATCCAACATTTTAATTTCTGGGATATTCCGTCTTACCTTTGTAGTCTTAATGTAAACAATTTACCTTATTGTTATCCATGTAATTTTATATTCATCATTACAGTTATAAGTAATACATACAAATTAGTTTTATTGTAAGGTATTAGGGTAGAGTTTGACAGACTACTCAATCACTATTCACATTTATAAAATATTCAACCTAAACTTGATGTTTACAAAATTTATGATTATTACCTTCCTGAATGCTTTAATAACTTCCATACTCTGCATATTATTAAGGGTACTATCATGATTTTAATTGATAAGTGACTACAAATCATGTCTTCCTTGAAAAAACAACCTTAGATATTAAGAAATTATTAATCCTTTAAATTTGCAGAACTGAAGCCGATGAAGTATTTAAAATCACAACAAGAATTATGATGAAATTACATTATCTCAATCGAATGACCCAATCGCGAGCCTTCCACTATCATATCAGATAACATAAACTACAAATAACTATCAAAATTTTTCAATAATGAATCTGTTGACAATAACAGCATAATTTCATATATTAATTATCAAAACTCCCATATTGACAAGACAATATGTTATTCTGATGGTTGAGATCATGAATCAATTGAAGCTATACCACCATGGAAAACCTGGAAGCACTGGACGGCCGTTTCATTTTGTTATGGGACTCCTCAGTGCTTCCAAGTTTTCCACGGTAGTCTAGCTTCAATTGATTCATCATCCAAACTATCAAAATAACTATAATATCAACAAAACCCCTTCTGTTATTTTTCTGTTATTCATTGATTGAGAAAAAACATTTGGTTATGTTATCTAGAAATACAATGGAGGATCTATAAATTAATTAACCAGTTCATAAAACACAAAACAATCAATATTATAAATTGTTAAAATTAGTTTCTTTAATAATTCAAGATATCTCATTTATGTATTGCTAAGTATCAATATTCTAATTCGGTAATTTTTTTCTTCTTATTAACTGGATACGCACCACTGAGGAGTCCCATAATAGGACGAAACAGCCGTCCAGTGCTTCCAGGTTTTCCATGGTGGTCTAGCTTCGATTGATTCATGGTCTCCACTATCATCAATGGGAAGATTCAAACAAACAATACTAAGCTAATTACCAAGTTCATTTACACTATTCCCTACTGATATAAACTCTATCTGTTTAAATGATAGAACAAAAAAAGACACTTTTTTTAAAAAGTTGACTGATTATTTTAAAAAAAACAGTAGTGTGTTTTGTGTCATTTGTTCAATGATAAATATCTGATCATATCAGAATTTTTTTTAGAAGAAAATCACACGGGGTAAAAGTAACTAACTTCTGTTTTTTTAGTTATCATTATGATCAGATTTTTCTTTCTTTTTTTCAATATCAGTATTATTGATGTAAGGTATATTAATTATCATTATGAATGTTTTTCATTGTTTTCTAATCTATTAAACATTCAATCAATTATGAAATTCAATGTTTTAAAAAGTATAATTTTCTTGTTAGTCTGTATGTAATTATGTCCAATTAACGACTATGAGTAATTTAATGCTTATTCTTTGTGATATTCAATATGTTGAACTATATTATCTTATATGTCCCTTAGAGAGTTAAGAATGATTCTAAACAAAGCAATATAAATGTCGAGGTAATGCTAAAAACAAGTTTTGTTGATCAGTACTTTTTTAATGAAGATATTTCGTAAAGCGATAACTTATTTATTTAAACACATAAATAATGGTACAAGGAAGCACCAGATATATATGAGCCACACAAATCTCGTTTGATTTGTGTGAGGGCTGTGATACTGCCTAGGTGTCCGAACTGAAGCAGGTGGTTTACTTAGAGGGCCACACTCGGAACCTTTGATCTAAAGATCTGATCCACAAGGCAGTGGAGCATCGTGAGGAGATGCAATCCAATGGTAGCCGGTGACCAAAGATTGGTTCATACACCATTTGTTTCCTCAGGATACTGGAGCTCATGTGAACCATTGTTTTGGAATCAGGTTTTCCAACTCCCTTGAGTGGACATTCCGTGTCCACCAACCCGGTTAAAGCGCCGGATATTCGCTTTTCGTCCTCTCAATTTCATAAACAACACCCCTGCCACAAGAAGACAATGAGTAAGACTTCCCTGGCAGAGGCTATGCACGCGTGGCCATGTGAGAGAATTTCGAGAGAGAGCGGGCTCTCTCCACTCTCGACCGTACCAGGGCATTTGGGGGCGATAACTGAAACTAGAATAAAGTTTTATCTATAAAATTAGTGAATTTATTAGAAAAAAACTCTCACATTATTCATACGAACACTGAGGTGTACAATAACAATATTTTGTCTTATTGAATAATGCCTTCACGTCATTACAATCAACAAAAGAAGTTAAAGCCTCAGCTATGGAATTTAATACAGAGAAAAATGTGCAAGAAAATAACTGCACATGTTGTTAATTTGTACTTTCGATAGAATTTGGATTCTAAATGGTAAACTTGTCTTTTTTTGATAAGTTAGTTACACCTATAGTATAACTTCAAATGGTGAAAAATCAGTAGTTAGAGACTTAAATACAGTGAAACACTAATACTAGATTATAAAATATTGCTCCGTCTTGACAAAAATGCTTTGAAAATAAATTCTATTACTGACTAGCATTAGCAAAAACATTATTATTAAGTAAATCTAGTCTTATAGTTACCTACTTTCTCATTTATGATTCCTCAGGAGTACAAAATCGTGACCCCACAGGAGAAGAATACATTATACTTTTTGGTTTTCAAAGAATATAATATTATACAGTAGTCACTGTTTTTAATACAAGTTAGGGATATGAAGCGAATCTCATTTAATGACAAAACCATTTTCGTCTGTTTTACTCCTCTCATTATATTTAATTAATAGAAATCATCTTCAGATCATACAAGTCGAAATATTGCAACCAGGTCGTATAAATATTTTGATCTGCTGTACTTAATTAACATTACTGATTTTAGATGGAATTATTAATAGATATCTCTTTTACTAATAAAATGGCGTAAGTCCTGTATAAGATCGATTTGATAGTAAGTTCACGAAAATAGACCTAATCAAAATCTCAGTACTGTTGATCGAAGTTGCTCATTGTTATTGTTGGGGAAAAAAATTTACTTCTGAATTGATTAACAAAATGATGATAACTATTATATAAATATCCTATTAGTTTAAATTACCAGGCAATAAATTTTCGAATAAAAGTTAAAGAGTTCAGAATCTATTCGAATGGATTTTTACTTCACAATTAATAAGATCCAGAAAACATTGAATGGCTGTTTTGACTACCGCATCAAGGGTGTTCATCTATAAGCTCAACAATTATAGAATGTAAGATATTTAAATAAAGGTTCTAATATCACACTTTACTAATGATAAATATGAGGATTTTGAGTTATAATATTTAATAAAATGTTAATGAATATAACGTGAAAATTCAAAAACTACATTTGAATGTTGATAAGTGATGCTTTCCCGTTACATATGAACCGACTTTTTACTAGCGTGAATAATTAATTTTTCAACATTTAGTCAATTATAATCGTCAACACCACCACCACCACCATTATCGTTATCATCGTTATTATCAACTGTAATATTGACCATAGTGACAATAAAAGGTAACTTAAATGCTAATTAACTGATTTGAAAAATAATAATAACCTGATCAGTTGTTCAGATGATAAAGTTATTTGTTTATCTTTTTGTTCAAAGAAAGTTTTTTTCCCACTACATTTCATTTAATCTTTTCCAATAATATACAGGTGATTTTGACTATCTGACATTCGTCGTAATGTGTGTTTTTGTTTACTAACTCCTGCAAAACAAATTTGTTATTTTTTTTTCTTCAAGGCTGATTGGAGCAAATTATATATTTTATGACGTTCTCTCTTCAAAATAACTTCATAGACATATATAATCAAATGCTATAAAAAGCAGCCTATTTTATTTAAGAAAATAAAAGTACGAAAACAATGTTTTTTTAAAATATTGTTTTTTAACATTTTCTTGGTGCTAATTTTATAAATTTCAAGTTTTATACAAAAATAGCGCGAAAAGCAACTTGAATATTGAATATCCGGATAGATTTAAAGAAACATATCTACATATACTGTAGTACAGGTAAGATTCAACAAAGTGATATTATGAAGCAACAAATACACTAATCTATTCCTCGTGAAATCTTAGTCTACACCATTGCGTACTGGTAAAACTTTCAAATTGAAGGTAACTGATAATTAGAAATCAACTATCTACTCGTTTTTATGGCATTGATAATCTTCAAGAGTAGATCTGTTTTAATAAAAATATTCTGTAAGTAAAAATCTTTGCCTCATTTCCAAAAACAATTAGTAGATGTTGATTTTTTCCTACATCCAAGGTAAATAGTTGGTGTTCAGAGATCAGATGATAAAGTGCCATTATGAATTGTATATATTACAATTTTAGTTTAGATACTGTTAAGCACAAAAATTCAAGATGCTGATTGAAACAGGAAACAATTAATACCGTTCAGTAGAATACTGAACAGCGTTCGGGTATCTGAAGAGAAAATCACTACTGAGTTAAAGTTTATGAGAAACAACCCATAGTAGTCCGCTCATACATCCTGATTACTGGTAATTACTGAAACGAAGCTTGTCATCTGGATTCAGTTTCTAGCTTTCACTTAACATTCAGTGATTAAATTCCTTCAAATTTTGATCAATGTAATTCGTCGATCATTTTTAGTTAGTCTGCTTTCAAATATAATGGTTTTTATGAATGTTGACGTGACAGAGTGCATAGAAAACAGTCCTAATCCGAAACTAAATGATTAAAAGCTTTGTGTTTACATTTCTAGTTTTCCTTTAAATGAAACCGAAAATTTTTGAAGTCAAGTAAAAACTGAAAAAGGTACTTTTTTTATCATGAATTTCAAGCACAGATTAAAATCAGTATGGGCAAAACAAACAAAGCTAGACATTGTTTAGCAATGATAATTTTTGTTTCAGACTGTAAAATATTATATAAAAATTATGCAATTCAATGTTATCTTGATTGGTTTTTTTATTTTAGATATTCTGTTATGCGAATAACCATAATTAATTCTTATTCTAATCAAAAGAAGAAAGAAACACGATAACAAATCAACATGCCTATACCAAGTATTCATGTAAATTCGATTGAAGATACTGAAAATGATGACAGACGAAATAAGAAACCTTCCATACCAATACTACGAGTAGTTAGTGACGATATGGATGGACGTGAAAATGACGTTAATAGTGATGACGATGTAATGACAGCTGAAGAGGAAGCCGCTATCGCGCGTCGATTTCTTGGTGGAAACGACCATACAGAACAACGCAGGTAAAATAAATAACGAACCTTTATATTATCTGGGTAATATTTTGAAGATATCAATAAATCGTATGTATTTATTATAAATTATTATATGATATGTAGCATTCAACATTCAATTTTAAACATTATATATTCTCAGAAATGGGTTTTATGGATATTATAGTAATTTACTAGTTGAATTCATCAGTCTATATATTCACCAAAAACCAGTTTCACTACTACCATGATTATAAAAATTTACAGACGATTTACAGTGTTTTGTCTAGTTTCTATAAATGACTGATAGAATCTAGGGAATTGAAGATCATTAAGGGATCTTAGACATTTGTTTGATTATAGTATCGGATATCTCAATAGTGTATATCCAGAAACTTGTACAAGATCAAACTATGGTTCTTCATGTTTCACAGAAGCCACTACGTCTAAATAATTATCTAAAACTTTTAGTTTTACAAAGTCAGTGAGGCTCGAGTTTACTGGTAATTTAGACATGTGATTACATTTTCGAACAACGTCATTAGGATAAAACTAATTCACTGACTAAGTGCTAAAGAATCCACACATCATTGGAACATTGTAGTGCTTAACATCCTTTTACAGCATATACTGTTATTATAATAGAGAAAGAAATTTACCACATTTTTTCTGTATACAAAAACACCTTAAGGCGATGGTTCCTGTAAAACAAAGTGGATTTGATGCCCTTTGTTTGATCATTACTGTATCATTTAATGTTAACTATCCATCAAGTGTCTAGCAAGAACTTTTGTAAAATCTTCACATAGGTTTCTGCAACAACGTTCAGGGAAATTTGTTACGTCAAATATCTGTAAATTTTGAATGAAATAGAAAAATGATATTAAACAGTGAATCGATCATTGTTGGTTGATGTGAACGAAAACTATTTAGTCATTGCAAATACTTAGTTTCAAGCAAGTTATTCAGATACCTAATTTCTATAAATTAACTGTTCAAAATGCATGGATCTGGCTAGCTAGTTGACTTGAAGACAACTGAAGGATGCAAAAGCAGAATCTCAAAAAATAAGAAATAAAAAAATTTGACACCGTTTGAATGAAATTACTGAAATCATTTTAATATTTACATATTACTAATGATCATTTTTTGCCCCTGATATCATAACTTTGCCTTGTTGGCTTTGATTTTTGATCGGTTTCTATTGTTTTGTTTTTCATTTTCTTATATTTCAAAGAATGTCTTCATTGGACATGTATCTCTCGCAGCCAGAAGTAGTAAGTTTACTTCTTTGGTTATTTTTATTTATTGAATTAGTGTATAATAAAAAGTTATACCTTGAAAATTGCTGAGTAGTCTTTCACTAGCTTTTATAGTTACATGTGTAAACGAAAAGAGAAGTTTTGAAAAACAAGGTGAATAAAAACAGTGATTTGAAAAAATTTTTGGAGTTTATTCATTGATAAACAAAATGTTGACTATATTCCAAGATTAATGAATAGATGGTAGAAAGCTTGGAATAATTTACAATAAACACACGTCAAATTATATATTTAGTCAATACATGAAAAGGATAAACTCCTAAATCAAACCACTTCCATGTATGTTTATCAATTAAACTGTCATTATAGAGGCAACTATTTGGCTAAACAACCTAGACAGTTTATAGTTGCTTTATCAAGTAATTTCTACCATGACTGCAAAAAATTAAATCCATTTAAAGTCCCTTGTTTGTTTTTTCATGGAGTAGACTGAGAATGAAAATGAAAAACTCTCAACATACTCTATCACATAAAGATTGTTAGTAAATAGTTAAAAAGTTTGAGCATTTCCACTTATTAAAGGTAGTCAATGTAATACTGGCCCATATTTTCAATCCAATCTTGTGGATACAAAAATCATTTATTACGTCTACTAGTTCTTCATGACTTCAATTTACGGTTAGATTACAATATTAATTATGACATCAGATAAAACATTTTTTGCATATACCTAATTTTTATTTCTATTCTCATTAAAGTGACTATCCGTCATAACATTAGATTAACAGCTTTACTAATTATCTATTTAGTTTACTAATGACATAACTATTTTATTATCCTCATTTTATGAACAATAATGGTCAAATATTCTGAATAATCAGTTTTATGATAACTATTATAATCTGTTAATCAATTATTTAAAACAAAGGAAATTGGCTTAAAATGTATTTTCTGTTTATCTAAAATATATTAAAATTACTTAATAATAATTAAAGGAAATTATTTGAAGCTTAAAAATAATCCACTAACAAACTAGCTAATCTCTGTCTAATTTTGAGTCGATATGAAGTAAGATAAGATCTAACTGAACAGTTATGATATTTAAAAATGATAATAATAATAATAATGAATTCACTTACTATTGTTTGTTTGAATCTTCCCATTGATGTTTAGGACTGCAACTGGTCAGTCTCTAATTGGCATATGTGCATACTGTGCGTATTGACTCGATATAGCCTTAATTCACAAGTATTATAAGAAAAGATGGATAGTGGTTAGCAGTGGAATCCTGGATTCGCGTTTCGTCCTATTTGGGACCCATCAGGTGGATGTACCTGCATCTCAGAGTTTATGTTCACTCTGGGACTCGAACCCAGTACCTTATTCTTCAAACGCCATCGCGTTATCCAATCACCTACTGAGTCCTGCCAATAAGAGACTGACCAGTTGCAGTCCTAAACATCAATGGGAAGATTCAAACAAACAATACTAAGTGAATTTAAACTTCACCCCATTGAAAAAGCAAGTGGCAGCTTCGTGAACTGATGCCACGTTTTACTTGACCATTTCCAGCTTTCTTTCAGCTTACGTCTACGCGATCTATCATCGTTCGTCACGCTAGATACTTGTTGGGTCTAACCCACTCAATAGGTAGAGATTTACAATCTTATCAACCGATTTATCTTCCCCTTTTGCCCTCGATTTAAATTCAACATTTTTCACTCAGTGCGCTCAACATGCGCAAAGATTCCAGTAAAATGCACATAGTCAAATAATAACCTACACATGTATTCTGCTTTCATAGACCACATTCCACATCCGATTTAATAAAACTACCGGCAGCATAATAAACTGATTATGCTAACGAAAAGGTTGAATTTAGTAAGGAGGTTTAATCAGTATGCCAAATAATAAAGTACACAAATCATAGATAAATATATGATTATCCTACTGACCAAGACAATGACTTATTGAACGAGACCTTGAGTAAATGTATAACAGACTTCCTCAAATGACGTATCTTGTTTACAATGTCTCACATACCATTTAATCTTGAAATAGTTTATGAACACATGTATAAATGTGTATATACTTGTCCAGCTCATCAGAAGCCTTCTGTTAGTTGTCCTCAATAAACTTATATTTAACTAAATGAATCATGATATCAGATCATTTAGGACAGGGATCAAATTGAAGTTTACTTTAAAAAAGTTAATCGTCACTGGAGACTACTCTCTACTAACCAACTAATCAGTAGGCGGTTAACATGATTCCATAGTAAGTCCAAGAATTTTATATACATATAGTTACATTTTGACTATTCAATCATCAGGATGTACTTTATAGACTTTAGTTGAGAAAAAAGTCACTGTAGGATACCGATAAGTTTATTTGTATTGCCAGATGCTTTTTTCCTCAATTGGTCTACAATGAACATCTTATTAGTAAGATTTCTGTTTTATAATGATCCGGACGGTATTAAGTGGCCAACAGATAACTGGGAATTAATTCTTGTGTATATTCTAGTCATGGTTTTTGTTAAGCTTTTATTTGTGAAGAAATTTGTCTAAACCCATAATCAGAGGGGGTTTTGTGGAGAATTTAGTATTTTCGTAGTTGAAATCATGGGTCAATTGAAGCCTATAATATTTAATTGTATCTTACTTTTCTTGATTAATTTAGAAACAAGAACCCATGATAATTAATCGTCATATAAGTTTGAAAGAAGAAGAAAAAGGTGTAAGTCATTTAGAAAGATTTTGTTGAATAGAGTTATTGAATTATTTATTTAACTTTTTCAACATTATCCAATGCTACTTGTTAGGCTAAAGATTAGTAGTTTGTTCAATTTGTATGGAAACTTGTGAAGTTTTAAATTTTCCTATATTGAGGTAATATATAGTTATACTAATAATCGAATGAAGAACTGTATCTATGACTCGTGTCAACAGTGATAAACGATTATGACCTTACGGTCCAATTTCCAATTTACTCGTGTAGCATAATCACTACGAATATTATCCAGTTTATGACTAATTGAAAAACAGTTTTGTAAATGAATAGTTTGTGGAAAGTAAATAATGATGTTACAAATAGGTAAATAGATTTTTGTAAAAATTAATTTGTTTAATTGTTCTACAGGATTTTCTATTTGTGAATTAAGAAAACGAAATATAAATTCGTCTACATAAACAGGAATGAACTGTCTGATCAAATAAATTCTCAGGAGTCCATACATTGTTCCTGGTTAGGGTTGGAGATTTAAATTTATAATTAGAAGTTAGGCACTTAGGATTAGGATAATAAGTTTCAAATTAGAGATATAAGATAAAGGTTAGGACTTGGAGATAAAGTTAATTCAGGTGTTGTATACAATCTACATGGAAAAAAGAGATCGTTTGATATCTTTTGCATAATCATTTCTACCATATGATAGCAAATAATAATTTATTGTTATGATTTTAATTGTTCTCATATCCACTTGCCCAGTAGCTATAATAAACTTTTTACTGTTTCTTCTGTATCAATCTTAATAGATGACAATTCACAACATCTTGATTGTCCGAAAACTGTATCATAAAGTCTACCATAGAGATTTTAGAATTTCCAAGTTTTATTATTGACATTGGAAGATTTAACATCATTAGATGTTTTCACTGGTTGAATATTGGAACATTTCAACTAATTGCTCTCTTTTCTTAAATAATTATTACTAAATTCGTTTTGTGTTAAACGAGAAAGCAACTTCAGACGCTTATGTGGAAGAAATATATATATATATATATATATATATATATATATATATATATATATATATATATATATATATATATATATTATTAGCTTTATTCAATATTATATTATTTGGTACAAAATCGAATTCTCAGCATAAAGTATTTCAACATGTTTACGTTTCTTATTTCTTCGTTGCTCCTGATGATAAACATTCAGTGATCGCCAGTTGGATGTCAGCAGTTCAGTCAATCAACATATGAATAATGTATATTCTTTTTGCTGCATGTTCCCAGCAAATACGACATCTCTGATTAGGGCTTTTGTAACCTTTACAGCGAAAGGCTGTACAGTTTTCAGAAACGCACCGGAATAGGTTGTGCGATTAATAGGCATAATGATGTATTAAAACAAACGAAATCAGATAACTTGTTGAAATATCTAGATGACAAGAACAGGTAGCCCAGATGTTTAAACAGGCCGCCAATACCTGCAGTAGTATATATATATATATATAGTCTCTTAATTGAATAGAATACTGACATAATATTTCATGATGTTCAGATTCTTTTCCACGGATTTCAAAAAATACTTAGTCTTATCTATTTATTAAACAACTCATTCATTTTTTATATTCCAGTTTGAGGCAGAGCAAATGCTTCTTCGTCAAAAAGAACGTGAAGTAAGTTAGTATATACAATAGCGTTTTTAATAATAATAACATTCTGTTGATGTAATAACTGTGCATTTAAATTCATTTTCTGAGCCATGATGAACTGATTATAATCATCTACAACTAGGGGAATTAAAACTGAAATGAAAAGCACGGAACAACAAAACCAATGATTACATTGATAGGTCAGTCAGGTCTATTATAATACATATGCCAGGTTAAGATAAAGCGTTTGTGTTAGAAATTATTCAAATTAATTAAGGTTACCAGAGACGGTGTTAGTGTAAAATATAACAGGTACGGAGGTTTTCTTAGTGGGTTCAGTAATAAAAATCACTAAACAATAAATGTTCCCATAATCTTAATTGTGGAATGAGATATATATTTCAGGTTCAAGCATATTTAAGACATTTTTATTGCAGTAAGCATCAGTCCAGCGAACAAAGGATGATGTTTTATTAGTCAACTACGCAATTTACGGACAGTCAAAGTTACAGTTAGTCATTAATTGCTGACAGACGAAGTACTGACGATACTATAATTTATTTATGACCAATCAGATTTAGGATAACAAGTCTTGGATTTCGGCGCGAAATTCATTCATCTATTTAGCTAAATAGCAGTTTGGCATTTTAGCTTATGTCATTTCTTGATGAAAACCCTAAACCTAATTCCTTACCCTAATCATCAACCGCAAACCATAATCTTTACTCTTCACACAAGTTCATAACCCTCATTTAGCCCCAGTAAGTATATTGTTACCATACAGATTGATTAAATGGATAAGGATTATTAAACCACATCAGCCCATGAAGTCTATGATAATCATTAAGTGTGAAACTCTCCGTTTTCTTTCACAGTATAGTGATAATTTATGTTCGAAACCCTAGATAGCTCGAATTCACTGTGTATAACAAAGATGGGTTCATTCTTCCCCTTTCTCAAAATCTCAATCTACGTATTACTCCACACACTTTATTATTTTAATTCCATCCTTTTTTTACGAACTATATACCCTAAGTGTCATTTTGTAACTGCCATTGATATCACTTATTTGACACTCTGCATCTTATCAGTCTTTCTTACTGTGTTGGTTAGAATCATGACAACTTCAACTATCCTACATTATTATTAATACCAAGTTAAACTTTGTTTATAATTGACTCATGATGAAAATGTTTCTACTACCGCCTGTAGCTCCACCGGGGGCTACTGTCGGTTCTAAACCCGGGTAAAGGAGGAGGTTGGGCATGGGGTTAGCGACCCCATCCCGTAGAAAACCAACTCGCTAAAAAAACGCTAACCAGAAAACGTTATTCACGTCTAGGTCACAAAGTAATATTATTCAGTAGTCTTTAAAGTAAGAACATGAGATAGCCAATCGGTCACGAGATAACTACATTAACAATAAGGATTTGAATAAACTAACTAATGACCCACCTAATAACTCAAGAGTTGTTTTGTTACATTTTATCAGAAATTATTTATTTATTTAAACACATAAATATTGGTACAAGGAAGCACCAGATACATAAGCGACATACAAATCTCATTCGATTTGCTTGAGAGCTGCGATACTGCCCAGGTGCCCAAACTGAAGCAGGTGGTCTTTTTAGGGGGCCACACCTGAAGCCTTTAACATAAAGGTCCAACCCACAAGGCGGTAGAGCATCGTGAGGAGATGCAGTTCCATGGTAGCCGGTGACCAACAATTAGTTGATACGCCATTTGTTCCCTTAAAATACTGGAGCCCATGTGCATCGGTGGTTTGGAATCAGGGTTTTCCAGCTCCCCTAGATGGATGCGCTGTGTCCACCAACCCGGTTAAGGTGTCGGACATTCGCTTTTCGTCCTATCACTTTTGTGAACAACACCCCCGCCACGAGAAGGTAGTGAGTAGAACTTCCCTGGTAGAGGCTATATATTCGCTGGCCATGTGAGAGCATTTCGAGAGGGAGAGCGGACTCTCCCTACTCTCGGCCATACCAGGGCATTTGGGGGCAGGGAAGAAATGTCAGAGAACATTGATTAGTTAGCATCTAGTGGCTTAAAGTCTTTCAGTAGCTATGTCGTATGATTGATAACCTAATCCTTTTATTATGTTATGTCGTTTTATGGAAGATTGATCAATAACTAGCTGGTTCTTGAGTAGAGTCATTTTAAACCATAACACTTCAAAGTATATTCTCTTGTCAGGAGATGACTATTGTTAATTATGACTAATAATAACTTTATTCCTAACCAATCTAGTTTTTTACATTCATCATTAATTGTAATATTAGATAGGTTAATTAGATGATTAATTCTCGTCGTAAAACATGGTTCTTGTCATCCTTTATCAGAAAGTATCTTATTAGATACAAACTAAAATCAAGAAACCAATCTGTAAATTTATACATACATGCGTCTAGAGAGAATGTGTTTTTAAAAATGACAAAACAGTTGTTTAAACATTTTTTAACTATTGTTCGTTTATTATTGATTAGGTGCGTATACAAAGTATACGAAGTGTTTCATGCGCATTATATTTTTTCACTTATCACAATTTTATCTGAATTTGAATAAGTCATCATTATGCAGACAGTAATGGAAATAATAGCATTTAGTTGATATATTAAGGACAATTGACTAAATTATTGTGATCGACTATGGCAGTGGAAAGAAACGTACGATTAACAGCGTACAATGTGGTAATGTTTGCTGTCAATCGGTGTTTACGTATGCTGATAATATTTAACAAAGACTACTTACAGTTTTTTTTGTGTATTCAGAACACTACATTCATTTGTTCTTCTTTTCCTTTCTTCGTGTCACTGTGTAACATATATGTTCTACCATAGTTTTGTTTCCTCTGTAAAATAAATTTGGAAAGTTTAAGAGAGAATAACTGTAGAAAATGTCATGTATCTTGATCTAAGTGTGAAAAAATTAGAGATTTTTTGCTGAAATCTATATAGTATTTTACTGACAAAGCAGGCTTTCTTTTCACACAAAACTATTTGAAGAGAAACGAGTGAAAAATAAGAAGCGAGATGGGTGCAAGACAATGGTGAATGTAAATAAACTCGGTTATAATTATGGAAAAATAACAAATGCTGCTGTAAAAACTGGTTTGTGGATATGTTAAGTGTTAGGTGATGATTTTGATGCCGTTTTGTTCTCTGAGCTGGATGGTTTAGCCACGGAGCCTTCATCGTTACTATGAACGACATCATCACCTGAAGTTTGTGCTGATGGTGTCCTTCAGAATAACGATGAAGGCTTCGCGGCCAAACCATCCAGCACAGAGAACAAAACTCAATCAAAATCATCCACTTTAGCTACAAATCTTCACCATTTCAAGTGTTAGTAGATTATAGGCACTCGGTAAGATACTCTTTGTGTCATTTGACCATGATATACTGAAATTTCGAATCTCTTAGTATATTGGCCACTGTCGTGGGAAGTATTTAATCAGCACTAATGAATAGATACAAAGTCGATCACTATTCAATAAGCAGTTAGGATTAAACTCAACAAAATACCTTATGCATCAATGACTGTGTTTGATTGAATTAATTGGAGGAAGACAGGTTATTAATAATAGCCGTCAATAGTTAGGTTTGGGAAAGAATATATATATATATATATATATATATATATATATATATATGAGTTTTTATCCATTTGTTTCGTTGAATAGTTTACGGAACGAAGTTACGTTTGGTTGCCTTTTATCACAAAACTGCTTCAACTGGCAAACTGGTGAAAAAAAGAAGACACCGTACAGTTAATTTATCATAGTTTAAGGCTTCTTAAACGTTTACTGTCATGATCCTGCTAGCGATATTCGTCCATAACGTAAACCCATCTTGAAATGAACTCACCTCCACAAATTAATAGAATCAACAATGTACTCAATAGTGACATGCTTTGAAAATATCTCGTGAACATTCAGTGAAAAATTAAAGGTGACATTTAATTCAGTTTGAAATGAGACGGTTATCTGACAAATCTGACAAAAAGAAGTATCGTACAGTTGAACATCGAAATAAATAGTAGTGGATTTCACTTCAGTAACTTAATCTGAAATCTAAAGCTCCATGGTTGATACTAATTAAAACGTAATCAGGGATCAATACATAATATTTATTCAATTATTCTCCACCCCATTATATTCCTTGTCCATAACTACTGTTTTGGTATATTTTTTTGTTAAAGAAAAGACTAAGTTCTAAACGTAAATCTTCAAATATTCTTATTGTATTTATTTTATTCATTTTCTATATAACACTATGTCTGATTATCTTATTGAAGAAGAAAAAGAAAAGAAAAGAATAAAACCAAATATTTATTCCTTTTATAAGTTTACTAATCTATAAGCTGACATTTAAAACTGTTATTTGTTTATACAAATATAGTTGGATATATTTTACTTCTATACTGCTTTCCTTTTCTTCTTTTTTCCCCCTATTTCGGTACCATTTACTATTTAACATGTAAATAGCATATATATCATATAGTTTGAATTTTTTAAAAATATTGTAAAGAGAAAAAAAAATTTTTTTGCCTTTGAAAAATAAAAAAAGAGAGAAGGAAAACAGTCACAACTTGCGTAAAATATCTATTAACTTATTCATGAATATAAAAGGTAGTAATAGTTTCACTACATTCTAGTTGTTAATAATAAGTATTATTTTAGTATTCATTATATTATCACATGACTGTCGGTGTATTTTATTATAATTATTAATAATGTTGTTAAAATGGTAGTGATGCGGATGAATGATTGTATTCTTGGAATGGAGTAACGATCGAAACAGTTCTTATAAGAATCTCAATAGATTTGTATTTTTTCTGAATGATGTTGTGTTGTATAACTGAAACGTTTTGCTCATCGTGAGGTGTAAATTTTAATCATTTTAAGAGTAAACATATGATGAACAGTTAAGGTTTATTTGGGTTCACGAACATCTATGATAAGTTAGATAGTCCATGGAAGTAAGAAAATGAACTTTTCCACGTAATATAATTCAATAAAAATAGAAGAACAACTGAAGTTTATCAATAATTTTTAGAACAATAAAGATCACTTTTTAAGTTTAATTCGAACATTTAGTTTAGTTGTTTACATCTGTTTTGCTTATTAAAAAGAATCACAAAATCACAGTTGGTTAAATTATTTTAAAATAAATAAATGAGATCACTTGAATCAACCTGTTAGATTCATATATTTTATAAATAATCACAAGGGGTGGATGTGTTGCTCAGTTTCGTGGATTAGTTGAAGTTAGACATCAACACTATCGGATGTCAGCTCAGTGGTCTAGAGGTTAAGCGTTCACGCTCGACACCGATAGGTCCTGGGTTGGAATCTCGCGAGGCGGAATCGTGGATGAGCACTGCTGAGGAGTCTCACGATAGGACGAAATGGCTGTCCAGTGTTTTCACGTTCTCCATAGTGGTCTAGCTTCAATTAACTCATGATCTCAACTATTAAACTTACAAATAATCATTAGAGAATATTTGAATATAGAGTTGATTGGTTTTTACATGTAATATTTTATTGTTATTTAGAAAATCATAGTATTCTTCACTGTTTTTATTTCCTACATCATATGTAATATCTGAAATTTCACGAATAGTTTGGTTACAAAAATCGTTTACCAGTAACATTCAACAGATATTTCTTGTAATATTTTGTCATTTACATTAATTTCCTAAAATATTATTCATACTTCTCTAGGAAATGGAAAAACATCAAGAGAAATTAAGATTAGAACGTGAAGAGGTAAGAGCATACATTTTACTGATTTTACGTTTAACGATCAACTATTAAGAGTTGTTGTATTGTTTTTCATCAGTTCGCTTATGCTTCCTAACTGAGTAAGTTGTTATTATGATTACTAAACCAAGGCTACGTTCCTCGTAATGAGTAAGAGATGGACCAGTGTACCCTTTGCTTACACAAGTATATACTTCCTTCGTTATTACTGAATGAAACAGTGTACAGCAAGATCACGATCATGGCATATTACATATCGATTTTAATTGGAAACTCTGATGACTACTGAATTCTAAATTAGTAGTAACCTTACTCCACCTTATCTGATTCGCGGTTTAAAAAATTCGGAGACGACCCTCCATTAACTCATCGATGTTTATTGTCTAAGACTCCGGATCAATGATTAAACAACAATCCATCACTTTATATTATTTATAAATTCGCAGAATGACGTCATTTCACAATGAAAATTACTTTTAAATATTTAATTCATGCTTTTAAGAAGCCATATTTTAAGTACTCAAAGTTTATTAATGATCTTGGTCAAAGTAAAATTTGTCGCTTGCTGATCGATTAAGTGTCAGAATCCAACGTGATAAAAGAATCATTCCTTTTCAGTAGCATGGTTAATTTCATACTTAAGTATCGAAATGTTAATAGAGATATCGGTTTTAATTACATTATGCATAGAACAATAAATTAGATGTCCAAAGTTACTTGATAATATTCTGAGTGTAGCCATGATCTTTCATATATTTACTCATCATTCTTATAGGTTGTTCAGTAATCATTTACATATCTGGGTTACACGCCCAAATGTGGAGCGGCAGATGAGTGGTTAAGGAGTTCAGCTCTCAGCCATTAGGTCACTTGTACAAACCTTGATCCATTAACTACGGTTCGAGCAACCAAAAAGTATCATTAGCTAACATATTTAAAAGGTGGTTCATACCCAAGCACCTGGTAAATGAGTGAAATTGAATTTCAAATTTAGATTCTTAAGTAAAGACGTACAAATTAAGCAAATAACTTAATTATAGAGTCATTGTTTACACATATCCTGCATGATCATAATCTTCAGTACTAATAACGAGTGACGGTTTCTAGATGAAAACAATCGGTCTTCAACCAGTAGATTCTAGATTCGAATCCTTCACTATTTGTCTCGTCCTGGAAATTTGGAAGTCATTAGTTTCCATAGTGTGGTTCAAAGCTGAGCGTATATACATTCACCTGTTAAACGAGTTGCATACAACACAGGTACTGAAGAAGGACAATGGAAATATGGTTATCTCTCAAAAAGTGCTACTGACCAGTGTAAACAGATATTTTACACATAGACCTGTTTTGCTTTCCTTTTAAGTGGAAAACATTAATTTGTACAATAATTCGTTTTTTTCTTTTTTCCTTTCTTAAAGGTTAAAAAAGCCAGAGCGTCCAAAAGACATGTGAGTATTGAATGATTGTCTTTTTCAAAATTAATTCTCATTTAATCTTTCAATAATAACTAGATAGCAATCTTTACAGATAGTACACATTTCCCTACTAAGGGAGTTCGAATTCAGTTAACTACTTGTTTCTGATAAACGTATTATTTCTTTATCAGTTCTGTGTACAGGTTAATCGTAATATTATGTGTAAATTCATTCACGTAACCCACTTTAAACCATATTTTTCTCATAAAAATACTTTTGACAGTCTAATTCAGATAGAACGAAAAGAATATGAACTAGACGATGACATCGGTCAGCGCAAAACGAATGTAAACTAGATTTCTTATTTATTGGGATTGATCAGTAGAATATATCTCTAGCTTTGAATGGAACTGATATATTTTCAGAAACTTGAAAAAAAAACATGCTTCTGTCAGCAAGGTAATCAAATGTACTGCCATTGAGTAAATATAAACAATTTACTAATTCAAAAAACTGTAGATACTGGTATCACATAATTGGAGACGATAGAATAAGCACTTTCACTCTGATGCTTACTCTTTGTAATCAACGATGAAAGGGTTACAATGATTAAGATTATGTCAAAAAAAATTAATCATGTCACAATGACATCGTATTACAAAGATAAGAAAAGGAAAGTTACTCAAAATGTTAGAAAAACTAATAATAACCATCTGAACAGATTTTCAAATCTAATCAGTGAATACGTTAACTATGTCAAGTGAACTATTTTCAAACGATTTAAGGAGAAAATACTTGAATTATTAATGATCAATCAACACAGTTCAACTAAATAGAAAGATTTTTTTAAAATTAGTTACTATCCCCTTATATTATATAACATCTGAGTGTCATTTAAAATGTCGAAACTACTTTTCAATATTCTAAGCTGTTTTAAATACAGATTTACCAAGTGATTAATTTATTTCACATTCTAGTTAAACAAAATACAGAAATATATAATCAGATCACTCACTTATCTTTCATTACAATGGATAACTATTTATTAGTTCCAGTAATTGGTTACATAATATATTGATTATCTTTAAGGGTTTTATTTGAACTGGAAATTTTGTTTTCGTTTTATAATAATAAATTATTCATTTTACCTGTGTACAGATGAATTGCGCTTTGTATTAAGATACTTTAATAAATGTTTGACAGTTTATGAATAATTAAGATCATGAGTCAATTGAAGCTAGACCATCATCGAAAACCTAGAAGTACTGAACAGCCGTTTCGTCCTATTGTGGGACTCCATATCGAATTATTATTCTTACCAAAATTGTACTTGATGTTTTCAAGTAAATTAAGTATTGAGTAAATTGTTTATATCTTAAGGCGTATAAATAAGGATGTTTGATGTTCTATGACTTGAACCACTTATCAAGAAAGTAAATAAGTAACCGATAGTTATTTAAGGCTATGAAAAAAGTAACTTCATGTATCTCGTGGAAAACCAGAAATCTTAATTTCTACTCATTAGAACATATCAAATAAATTATTGTCTTTATTATTAAAATATTTAGCAAAGTGATATCCATAAACGGAATTTACAGTTATATAATAAATCCTTGTGGGCCAGGGTAATTTTGCATTCGTTATCAGGAGAACCAGATACCATCCAGACTTTCACGTGATAACCAAAACAGTAGAGCTCAATCCCGTTTAACAGGATAGCCGGACACCGCCCAAGCTTAACCCGAGCAGTACAGCTCAATTCCGTCCCACAGGAGAACCAGACACTATATAGACTTCAACGCTACAACTTGAGTCGTACAGCTCAACCCTTTGGAGCAACCACACAGGTACCAAGATACCTGGTGGACCAATAAACGGGAATAAACTAGGTTCATTTCGAAAAGAAAAATTAACTTCGTAAAGATCATCTTTATATGGTTATTGAAAAGATGATGCAGGAAGATTACATATCATAGTTGCCAATATCAAAAAACTTCACTTTACTTAAAGTTGGTGTTTAATATTTCAGTTCCATTATTTTTTCAAACCGAAAACAGCAGCTTTTTTCTTCTCACTAAATTTAAGAACCTACACACTATAAAATATAGATTCTATACGATAAAAATATGATGTAGAGATGAATGGTTTTATTCGTTTACTTTTTATTCCTTTTTTAATGATTCAAGTCAAAAGTCGTTGAAGAACAAGAGCCCAGTAAAAATAATCAAGTAAGGCGAGTGGATTATCGTAAACAAGGTCTTGGAGGTTTGAGTAAAGAGCGCAGAAAAAAATTGAAGGTTAGTCACCAAGGAGAAATTTTATTAAATTAGTTTAAAGAAAATTATTATCATGGATGTATAAAAATCGTTTCAATGGTTATTTCTACCTGGAAAAAAGCAATATAAAATAGCAAAAAATGTTTGAACTACTTATACAGATTAAAAGTAGCTGATGTTCATGTACAAAATAAATGAAAGTACTTATACTGGGATCGTTTCAACATTAAATTACAATAGACTTCAAAGAACAACGAAGTTTGTAATAGATCTGAATGTAGCTATGTATCTTTACGAAAGTAGGCGAAACTAGAATATTTAAGATAGTCAAAACCATAAGTTCAAACCATGTCAAATTTAGAAATTATATGCTTTACCAAAATGTCATAACGGAAATTCATATCAATGAATAATTTCAATGTAATGAACGAAGACGATGGTAAGACAAACCAACTTAGTTTATTAAGCAAGATCATATATTAGATTTATAAAGTATGAAAAAATACATTTAATATGCTATTATCACATCTTCCATGAACTGTCGCTTACAAGCTCCACAGTAATTGGGTCCCTATTACTACTCGAACTGCTTTTGATTTTATTACTCTCTTAATGTCCCTCTTCTGTTACTTAAAAATCCCATTTCCAAATCTTGATGTTATTATTTTTACTATATGAGTTTATGAGATCACTTTAAAATAGTAAAATTATTTATTCATTTAACTTAACAACAATATTTCAGATTCATCTGAATAATTTCATAATATAATCATTACATTTTGGAGATCTAAGCGATTATCCGATTCAGATTTGCAAAAGAGAAACTTGTGTCCCATGGTTTTCTGTTCATTAGAAAAAAAGAGATAATCTGGAAATTGTAATGAAATATAAGTTAAGAAAATGTTTAGATAGTATACAGTAATTAAGACACACTATTTATCAATAGTACATCTGCTTTGTTAATGATTATCCCAATTGACTATACTTTTGCCACTGAATAAAGAGAATTCAGCGAAATGTACGGCTTAAGTAAATCATTTCATGGAAAAGAACATTTTCACTGTTCAATTCTCTTAATTTCAAGTTTTTTTTCCATTTATTTTTAAGGAAATGATCTTGCAAAAGGCAAAAAATGAACTTCTTGAAGAGAGAAGAAAAGAACTTCGAAACCGTGAAGATCACATCAAGAAACAAGCTCCTCCGTTCGACATTGATGGTTTAAATCAAAGTGAGAAAGTTTTTCAAGTAACATTACGGTCATTTAATGTCGTCAGAAATATCACTATTTTAAGTTGAACAAAACGAAAGTTATAATTAGACTTCAGAAATTAAGTTTGGTTAAGAGGAAGGTGTTTGAATTTGAAAGGCGGCTTGTGACTTACTAATCAATTTCTTATAATGTATGAATCCCAAGCCTTGATTGGCAATCAAGTTTAAATTTTGATTCAGTTTCTGAGTGCCATCGTCAGATCGCTTTAAATTTTTTAGTTAAAAAAATTATAACATAAAGCATCAATTGGAATGATGAAAGAGGGTTTAAACAAGAAAACAGATACAAAATGTGAGATGGTGGAGAATATTTGTAGCTCAGGTGGATGATTTTGATGGAGTTTTGTTTTCTGAGCTGGATGGTTGGATGAACAAAACTCCATCAAAAAGATATAAAATTTATTTCCTAATTTTGTAAGGTAGTTAATGAATGACTGAAAAAGCTGTTAGACTCTCTTCAGTATACCATCACGATCGAATCACATCAAATCTGTAGATAAAAGATGAAAAAATCGGGGCTCTAGTGATACAAAAGGCAGAACATGTAAATTACTAGTCCATCTTATAATGATCTCAAACATGACGTGGAGAGTACTAATTTGGATTTCTATTTAAAACTATGAAAGGATGTCAATTTCTCCACAGTAGGAAACGATAATAGAGAAAACATCATGTTCTAATGCTAGCAACTTGTCGGAGAACCCATGGTAAATGCACGTGTATTTGCAATATTTATCATACCATAAATCCAATGGAGTGATAGCTATAATACCAGGTGTAGAACAGTGTGGAGATAGTTAGGAGACTGATAAGTTGTGGATTTCATCGACTGACATGAGTTACATATCCTCAATCACTCACCATCTTAGTTCGAAAAGTTAATCTTTTATACAAGGAAGTTGGAGAAAAACTACATATGAGCACAGCAAGATACGGAATCGACTAGTTATGTTCCTGATTGGTATCAACCATGTGGAAATGATCAAGTTTCCTTATTCAAATTATCAAAGTAAATGTGATCTGTGGATGGAAATTCCTACATAACTCAAGAATTACTGTAATTATCAAAGATGAAATCATCTTTACTGACTCCTTGTATCACTGTCTTTTTTCCACTTTTTTCCTGATCACTTTTATTGTTGCTGTTTACACAGTTATACTTTCCTCGATATTCACTTCTTTTAGTGGTGATGTAAAACACAATCACCCGTACAGACATATATTTGTGCTATCAGTATGAGGATTGTGTAGACCTGTACATGTTATTGCGATACAGAATTATGCTAAATTTCATTAGCATTGATAATCTGGAGGCACTGAATAGCTGTTTCGTCCCAGTATAGGACTATCAAAAAGCGCAAACACATGACCCCAACTATGGAGACCAAACACAGGACCTCTAGACCATTGGACTGAGGTCGAATGGTGTAAAAGCTTAGTTTTCAACCAATTCATGATATTGTGCGACTAGCTTCCATTGTCCTGAGTGGGTATTTTCCTCACACTCCACATGGTTGAATTTCGCCTAGGATTTCTGTTAAAAGTGTTTGCTAACGTTGACTAGACTAACAAGAAAATGGATTGCTTCCTAAATGAAAAGATTTTATAGACTCCATCTTGCATAACATATTCTCCACGGAGTTATATTTGACGCTTGAAAAGGTATCGAAATTGTAAATTCCTTAAGAACTACGTCCAAGAAGCTTTCAAGTTATCTATAGTGGTCATTTAGACGATATCAACCTTTAAAAAAGCTTACCAAAAATACCACGATCTTATCAGTAATTTAGTAAACTAAAAGATATAATAATCTACTTAAATGTTCCTTTTACTGAAATCACCAACTTACAACTGAATATGTGGATAAATTATTTTTACCATTAAGTGCAACTTGAAGAAAAGGTGAAGTCGTGGTACGAACACGTTAAACAATTGGAATCACAAAAATACGAATGGGAACAAAGATTACGCAAACAGGATGAAGAGGTAAGTCAATGGGTGGAATTCTAAATTTTTTGCAAAATTAGATTATATATATATATATATATATATATATATATATATTTCATAGTGTAGTAAACAGAACACGGGTTGGGGACAATCAAATGTAGTTAAGCACAAATTACAGACTGTCTCACTAAAATCCGATAACCATACAGTTAATTTGCAAAATAACAATCAATTGTCTCAATCTTGACTGTTTCTTCTGCAAATATCAGTCCATCTTCTCTGATTTCATTATTCATGCATTTTCATACCGAATGTGCTTCGTTTCTGTTGATTCGTTATCGATTTTCTGCCAAAATACATTCTGTGCCTGACCTATCATATAAGTAGCCCACACTACAATAGTAAGTGATCTAACTTTTCCAAGGATGATCAAGGTCAAACAAACTAGAGCATTTCGTGGATACCTTTCATTGTGATCTGAAGTCATCAGATATATCATCGAATCCTTCGATGAACTTAATGACGAATACGAACTGGTGCGAAAACTGTGCCCACAACTTACCAATGAGTGGTCCCAAGTATCTAACGTAGATTATAAGAAAGATCTATTGAGAGGCAACAAAATTCTCATTCATTACTTTTCGGGCTAATAGTCTTTAAATAATCATGACAAGGATTCATATGCATACTTATAAATGAAATGGTGCGTTTAATACATGAATTGATCGTATATTTAAATCCAAAAGCTGATTTTGGAAAATTCACATATTCATTAGATATTCTACACTACCTCTGATGAATTTATAACTGTAACCTAGAATGAATTTTTCCGTATTGACAAATATTTCTATGAAGACAGTTATGCTCCAATCGGTACAGACTCACTTCATGAAAATGATAATAACGAAATGCTGAAGTTTATCATAGTAAAACGGAGTAGAAAAAAATCAACATATTCTACAGATTATAATGATTGTTTATAAAATAATTAATCACATTTTCATTAAAAAAATATCGAACATAGAACTTCAGAGTAGGATGAAGTAGGCTCTTTGAAAGCTTTCAGTTCAAATGGAATAGAATTCTGAAAATTTGATGTTGTTTACATCTAAATTACAATGAATAAAAAAGTTTATTGACTGAGTGGGAAAATCATTTAAGAAATCAGATTATTTTAATGGAAAAGCAGAATGAGTTGATTCTTGCAATGTACTTAATATGTATTGAATTGATAATGTTTACATTACAAAAGTGTAGTACTATAAATTATTATGGTTTTTAGACCTATTTTTGAGGAAATCACTTTTTGAATGAACCTGAAAATTCAGCGTTACCTAAAAAAGTTACAATGATTTTCTATATAAATTAGTATATAAAATCAAGAAATCAACTTCCTCAAATGGCTTTTCTTTTCCTTATTTATGCAGATTAATGACTTGACAGCTCAGTTATGCTCAATTAAAGGCCACTTGTAAGTAAACGTTTGGTTAATAATAAGTTTAAAATATACAGAGCATCAGGTAAATTTCCGGGTAAGTAGCTGAATTAAAATTTGAGTAAATAAGAATTTATTACTACCTAGTACATATTGAAAACATATTCGATTACATTTAAGTGCAGATATTTGTAAAGAAACTATAAACATCGAGTCAAAATTACCGTCAGAACATCAAATAAAGTTATCGAATAAACAGTTTTAGACTCCCAAAATATGCCTCTTAATTTGTCCATACCTGCTAGGAAATAAAAATTAGGATAACTTACTTACGCCTGTTACCCCTCATGGAGGAGCACAGATTGCCCACCAGCATTCCTCCAACCAACTCTGTCCTGGACAATCCTTTTTAGTTGCTATTCATTCTTTTGATGTCTGTTTCCAATTTCCAACGCAATGTATTCCTTGACCTTCCTCTTTTTCGTTTCAATTCAGGACTTCCAGTTAGCGCTTGCTTCGTGATGCATTCGAATGATTTCCCATTCACTTCCTAGTTCCCTCCTCAGCTGGAAATTAGCTTGTTCTCTCCCTAGTAGATCGCTACTGATGGCATCCGGGCCAACGGAAATTCAGTATTTAACGTAGACAATTGCTTGTAGATACTTTTACCTCTTTGATGATGGTTGTGGTAGTTTTCGCAGTTTCAGCTCCGTACAGTAGAACTATCTCGACCTTTGTATTGACGACTCTCACTTCGATATTGGTTGACAGTTGATTTGAGTTCTATGTGTTCTTCAACTGTAATAATGCTGTCCTTGCTTTGTCAATTTTCGCCTTTATGTCTGCATCGGATCCTCCACGTTTATCGATTATGCTACCCAGGTACGCAGAACTTTCCACCTCTTCCATAGTTTCTCCATCAAGTGTGATTGGGTTGGCGTTCTCCATGTTGTATTTGAGGACCATGATTTTTCCCTTGTGTATGTTGAGGCCTACTGCTGCTACACTGGCTGTCTCAATCTGCATTTGTTGCTATGTATGGGATAAAAAAAGCTACGTTATCTGCCAAGTCCAAGTAGTTCAGCTTCATCCAAGCTGTTCAGTGCTTTCCCTTAGATGTCGACGTCTTCACGATCCAATCAACCACAATAAAAAAGACAAACAGCGAGAGTAAGCAACCTTATCTGACTTCAGTCCTCATTCGGAGTGCATCTGTCAGCTGCCCTCAATGTACAATTATGCACTGCAGTCCATTGCACGAACTCCGAGTGATGTTGAAGATCTTCTCAAGCACACTATAATGTCGAAGAAGGTTTTATAAGGTTCTCCAATCTACGCTGTCAAATTCTATCTCACAATCAAGGAATTTAGTGCATCGTGAACAGTTTCATTCAATTGATTGTTCCCCTTCTTTGAGTAGATCTTGCAAGGCTTGGAACCTGTTGTTGAAAGCTATCTTGAATTTGCTGAGTTTTTCAGTATCTCGAACTAAGGCTGTACCAAACTGTTTTTATCACGTTTCTCGAGTTGTCCAGTGCTTCTTTAGCTCCAGTTTCATCTTGGTAACCACCAGGTAGTGATTCGAAGCTATATTAGTTCCTCTCCTGGTTCTCACATCTTTCATTGATCCTCTGAATTTTTTACTGTTGCAAATGTTATCGATCTGATTGTCTGAAGTGTGATTTGATTAAATCGATGTAGCTTTGGGTGTGTTTGCTGGGGAGTATAGTGCCGTCTACAACCATTTTGTTGAATACACATAAATTTGCAAATCTGTCACCATTATCGTTCCTTTCTCCCAGTCAGTCCATATCGCCCCATGATATTTTCATATTCGGTGTTACCGAATTGAATCTTACCATTTAAGTTTCCCATCAGGATGGTCACATCCTTTCCTGGACACCTCTCTAAGGTCGATTGCAGCCTCTCGTAAAACTGGTCTTTATCGTCTGTATTCCATCGCTGGTGGGTGCGCGCAACTGGACAATATTCATTGCGATTTCCACCCTTGTTTTGAAGGATGCTTTGATGATCCTGGATGCATGAGATTCTGATCCTGTAAGTGCTTCTTTGGATAAACACCAGTGCAACTCCCTGTGTGTGCGAAGCATTTTCTTCGTCATGATCAGAGTGCAACATCACCTCACCCGAAGCTAATCTTTTCTGTCCAGCTTGTGTTTCACGTGTTCCGAGAACCACCAAGTTGTATCTCCTCATTTCCGTAGCTATTTGACTGGTCCTCCCGGTCTACCAGATTATCCGGACATTTCATGTACCTATATTAATTGTCGCTCTGGTTGTTATAAGGGGCATAGGCCTCGTGACATTCAAATAATCCCGGCATCCACCATTTTTCCAATTGAAGATCCTTTAACTCCCAGGACAGAGTTTAAATTATTTATTCTGTACAGTGTTTTTTTCTACTGGATGGGTTTGCTGACCACATGCCCAACCCTCCTCTTTTACCCAGGCTTGGGACTGACAGTGATTCTAGAATACTTAAAGGCGGTATGGAATCTTTGTTAATGATAAGTGTATTCTGAATAGAATAATATTAATTGTGCTTCGTTAACAACACAACTACATGGAGATAGTCACTATCGCACACTGAAATTAGCTGAAGGACCACTGAGAACCACACCGCACTGAAAAGCTTCTTAATTTTTATCGCATCGCGTACCCATGAAGAAAAAATAATGAACGATGTTTTCGGGATTTACAGCGAAAAGAATAACTGGAAAACCGTCGGTAACCAACGGTCTACATTGCTAATTTCAATCAATTTGCGATATAATACTATCCTTATTAAACCCTATTATTCTCCGAATTTGTTGATAACTCTACAAACTCAAGGTTTTTAATAGGATTTCAGGTGTTCCATGAGGCTAGTTGATAGCAAGTACATGATTAATAATAAGTTAGATAGATTTCTAGAGATTTTGTATAGTTTGAAGACAATAATTACCAAGAACTGATATCAGCTGGATAACTCATTAATATTTTCAAGAGTAAATCAATAAAGGTTTAAAACTTAAACCATAAATACAACGCACTAAATTCTGGTTTACCAACATAAATAAATTTTAAATGCTTACTAAATAAATCAGGTTATCTCGCTACACAGTAACACGTAACTTTATTTATTTGTTATCATCAATTACCGTTTTCAGTACAAATTAGTAACTAGCCGTAATTTTTCTTTCTTGTTTCTATTTCTTCCCATTAATTTATTAAATCATAAATTTCTATTCAATGCATCAAGTCAAAAACCAATTCTTCGTAAAGTTGCTAAACCGATGTCAACGGATAGATTACGTGCAATGAGCGCAGCACCAACTTTCACACCCAAAACTGGGCATAAAAATCCTGCAGAAATGAAGAGAAAACTGTCGGATGATAGTAATCAGGGCGTAGTAAGTTATATTTTTCACACATGTATGTATAAACGACTAGAACAAATTCAATTTCCGGTCACTTAAAATTTACAGCAATAGTGATATTTCTTGGTAATAAGGCTGAACACTATAGTTATTAAGAAAAGTTTAAGTGCATAACCTAGCATTGTTAAGTTATTAATATGTTTTACACTAACGGCGGTAAATCCTATGTTTCGATACCAGGATACTATAGTTCTCCTCTTTTATTGCTAGCCCTGGATATTCTAAAATATTTATTGTCAATGGTCAAAGATTATTAGCCATTCGAATTCATTCATTTATGCGCATCATATAAAAGAGATTGTTACATTGAACTGATATGGTTGAATGTTATACCGAACAAAATACACAGCATTAATTAACTAATCCAATGGAAATTTGACTGCAAATCAAATGAACGAAGAACACGCTACATCAATACATGACCTCACGTTGAATTTCTTCCTAATAAATTGTATATGAAGATATAACATTTCAAATAGCTGTAAGTGATCATCCGAATAATACTGAATCGTAAAAGACAAGTGAATCGGACTTCCTCATATAGTAATTGAAAATGTACTTTTGAAAACTGCGCTAAGCTTGAAAGGACGAATCAATAATTAAAACATAATGAAAAATAATACGAAAATGCATTCAACTACTAGTAGTGGAAAAGTTTAGGTATAGACGACACAAATGCCCTGGTACGGCTGAGAGTGGGGAGAGTCCGCTCTCCCTCTCAAAATGCTCTCACATGGCCACGCGTATATAGCCTCTGCCAGGCAAGTACTACTCATTGTCTTCTCGTGGCGGGGTTGTTGTTCACGAACTTGAGAGGACGAAAAGCGAATATCTGGCGCTTTAATCGGGTTGGTGGATATGGACGATCCACCTAGGGGAGTTAGAAAACAACCATTCCGAACCAATGGTGTACATGGGCTCCAGTGTCCTGAAGGAACAAATGGCGTATGAATCAATCGGTCACCGGCTACCATGAGACTGCATCTCCTTACGATGCTCCACTGCCTTGTGGATTCGACCTTTGGGTCAAAGGCTCCAGGTGTGCCCCCTCCCCTAAGAAAACCACCTGTTTCGGTTTGGGCACCTGGGCAGTATCACAGCCCTCACACAAATCGAATGACATTTAAGTGGCGCATATATATCTGGTGCCTCTTTGTACCAATATTTGTGTTTAAGTAAAATAAGTAAAAATTCCGGATGAAAGAATGAGTAAATGGAATAGAAAATGCATAAAACAATTTTAGGAAGACAAAGAGTAAATGTATCTAAGTTATGTCACTCAAGATATCCAAAATACAAAATATTACATAGTCAAAACCAGTTTAACTTCTCAATTTATCAGATTCTTTCATTTTATGACTACAGAAATCAAATTTGAATGGGACCGGTGGTGTATTCGCGAAAAGTTGATGAGAAATTAATGCAAGACGAGCTATTTCAAAATAGTGATGAATAAGAACCAATTAAATATATTTTTTATCTGCTATTCATTTATCTTATTGGAAGCCAAATAAAAATAACAACCATAAAGACAACAATAATATTACATTCATTTCCTTATTTTCCCTTTATTATACATTTTTTTTCTCCAGAGCAGAAAAATCACCTACAATTTAATTATATGAGCATGTATTGTAACTTTTAAATTGTAGAGATTATAGAGAATCCATTATATATGGATAATTTTATACCAGAGAAAATGATTGTAATTTTAACTTTTCTTGTCTATTTTATAATTTCCATTCAAATGTTGTGATTGAATAACTGCATAAGCACTTATTTTTTTTGTCATTTTAAAAGACTATCAACATCATTCATTTTATTCTTTAACTCATATACTTTGTGAAATACTTCAATTATTTTGCCAACAACCCTTTGATTAACCTTATTCATCCTTTCGATTAATTAAATGAATTTATAAATATTTGGTGGTGTGACTTTAAGTGATGAGTTGTTTCTCTCAGGTGGGCTATATAATTTTAAAGTGTATATCCTTTCGTTCCTGTACCACACATATAAAATCATAAATTCAGATTACAAGATTGTTATTAGTCCAATAGTTCTCTCTTCACTAAATGTACACTCAGTTATTTTCTGTTTAAAAGTAAATTTAAACTTCCGCCTAACATAAATGGTATCATTTAAAACCAGAGTATGGCAAAATAATGACTAAATTTTGATAAATGATGCTGAAGTATGTTATTAATATGGTTATTGCATAAAAGTACGAATGAATATCTCAGATAGTAGTGTATCTTACACTTTAAAAGAAGTGTGAGTTATTTTTACAATGTAGTCGAAGCGCTAAATAGGTCTCTATGAGATATACGAACATGTATATACATTACCAGTACTAATAATTACTGAGTCGCTAAAAAACAAAAACATAGAAAAATATGATCAACGCAAACAGTTGTCTGTTAGTCGTCAATGTAATGTTCTGATTTTATTACTCATCCAACTCGCACCACTCGTAAAAGCGATCGGAAACTCTACTCAGCATTTATTCATCTTAGTCTTATTGTCAGTCATAAGTTGACAAATCAAAGTGAATGATGGCGCAAACTCGAGTTCCCAAGTTGAATAAATAAACCAGTCAAACTACGGGACCTAGCGCAACTATGTCGACCCAATTTGCGAAAACCTACATCAGAACTACACGAGGAAACAAATACGAGGAGGATTACAGTAATGGAAACAGCAACACCAAAATTACTTGGAAAAAAAATGAAAACAGAATGGAAAAAACAGCGCACTAAAATTTCTAAGATGAAGGATAATTTTATCTATAGTGAAATGAGTAACTCTTGAGTTATACAGCTCAATTTCCAACCACAGGTCACGGTTACTTTTTCCTAGCTTACTTGTGAGGCAAATCGAAGTGAGCAGTCGCTGGAAATGCGTAGCATATAAATAACGAGTTCATTAACCTACCTGAACTAGAATCCAAACGGCCTGAAAATATAAATAATAACGTACAAATTTTTTAAAAAAAAGTAGATAAATTTCCTTTGTTGTGAACAATATTGTGTATGGATAATAAGTACTAATTTCCAACAGTTTTGACTTGATTTTGGAAATTTGTATAGCAACTGGTCCCACATATAAGTACCAAATTTGAAAGAACTCATCACTTTGGAGCTTTATCCATCATAAATTTCTGCTTCAACAAACAAGGTAAGTTGAGGTAAACAATTAGGGAATCAAAACATGTGTCGATATAAAATAGGACTCTATGAGATGCACCACATATCACAAAAAGTTTATATCTCATTTATACCTACCTATTATCAAGTGGTACCTGTAGTTTTTGAATATTGGCATTAGATGTTTCATAAGCCAACAGACTTCGACAAGCAACCACATAATGTAACGTAATTCTTTGATATCATCAAGGATATTTGCCTAAGGGAGATTTAATATTAGTATGGAGGATTTGTGCTCACTAGTGACTAGCTTTAAGATGTAACTTCTAGAGTCCTATCGAGAAGCCGTGATCGAGGGAGTTCAATCTGTGTCACCGGATCCACCGCGGGCGATTGATGAAGGGCTGTGCAAAACCATGGATTGATTGAAGTTAGGCATTAACGCCGTTGGATGCCAGCTCGAAGGTATTGAGCTCGAGAGTTCACGAGCGAGACCTAAGGTCCCAAGTTCGAAACTCGTGTGTGGGATCATGAATCCGTGTTGCTGAGTTCCATACTAAGACGAAACGGTCTCCCAGTACTTTCAGGTTTTCAATGGTGGTCTAGCTTAGGTAGACTCGTGATTTAATATTAACTTATTTCAAGTTGATTGGAAAGTTGTCGGGTTAAAAAAGGAATTTCTGAGGAACAAAAAGTAGAGAGATGAATACTTTAGACACCATATCTGTGGTGAAATATAACGAAAATGAATATGTATATATTCCATGGACGCCAGTATTCGTTATCAGGCTGAATGATAACTATCTATAACATCTAATTGAAGTTAGAATTTGAATGCTAAATGAGACAAACGTGCTCTGTACTTCTTTTAGCGGTAAACATAGACACAGCACCTACCAGTTAACAAAGGCCAATGGTACTTACAGATCCATAAATAAGAACCTAATGTATTCCTCTAAACAAATGTCGTTTGCCCTTTAAACAAACCACACCTTGGTACTTACGACATCACATGAGGATTCAAAAATAATCAAACACAAGGAGTAAAAACTGTCTGTCCGAAATTTTCACCTTCTATTTTTGTTGGACAAAAATTACTTAGACTGACATTCAGTGAACAACGACAGATGAAAGAGTGATGAAAAAATTCCTAAGAATTGTCATTTACCTCCCATAAGTGATAAACCAGAAAAGGGGAAATTCGTTCTTCAATAAGAAGAAAGACATAATAGTAATTTAAATAAGTACAAAATCAGTGTCTTTCAATCAGCTAGCTTCCAAAGCGATTTTTTGTTTCTTGCCACGAGTTTTTGACTTATCAACCACTTTCCTTTTACTTGTCTCCTTCTCGAGTTCAGTAAGTGAAAGGTCCATTGTTTCCTCTTCTGACAAACCTGATTCGGAATCAATATCCATTAGTTCACGTTTTCTTTTGGCTATAAAATAGGATTTTAAATCATTATTGATCAAACTCCAAAATCTACCTCCTGGGGCTTCAATAAGATGCATTTGTGTGTTAACAAGTTTAATATCTTCTTCTCTACGTAACTCTACTCCTTTAGAAAGTCTTTTTTTAATAAACGCGGATTCTCGTTTATGTTTAATCTGATCAATTTTTGGAACAGCATCGACTGGAAAAGATTTTATCTAATTAATTTATGATATGTACCGATTTTTCGAACTGCTGCTCGTTCATACTTCAACAATGAATTTCGCTTCCTTTCAAATGCTTGGGAGAGATCATCAGTTAGTTCTTTCCCACGAACTCTTCTGGAAACTTTAGTCCATCTCACTTTGCGAGGATTTTTATGCTTTCTAAAAGCTTTATGACACTTTCCTCTACAGAAACGGAATTCCTAGGTGAATGATGAGCAAGCAATGCGAAAGTTGTAGGTTAATATATGGAAACTAAAATAACTCTGAAAACATTATTTATACTAGAGCAGTTAAGAGGTCATTTATATGAAATATGCCTCTACAACCACTTAAAAATGCAGAATTAATGAAGGGACTACTTTCACCAAGCACGGTAATTTTTGAATCTAGTACTAGTGTGATACTCTTATTAACACATTTATACATCTACTTAGAACAGGGAGGCTGAGAATTTAGTTAACCTGTTTGATAATTATTATGAGGTTCTACGATAGTGAGGTTTATATAAAGGTACCTTTTTAATGTTAGATATCATTTTGACGAGTTCTCAACACGATTATTTTAAGGAATTAGCCTATATCTATCAGTAAGTACGAATTATTTGATGATACAGACTGTTTGAATAATGTTGATCATGTCGGACATATTTTTATTCAAACATTTATAATTAGGAAAGCCATTATACGTAAATATCAGTATTTTATTAGGAATAAAACAATAGTGACGCTAATTTGGAAATAGTCGTAGAATGTCTGGGGAATCGTCTAAAATACGGATACATTCGACTGAGCATTCTATGTTACAATTAGAAATTCGGACTACCAAATACACGATTGCCCCGACGTTTAACAATACAAAAATCGCATTGTTATAGTTTATCCTTGAAAAGTAATATTTTGTCCGGAATATATTAACGTTAAAAGTACTAAGATAAACCTTTATTCTAAATGAGACACGTTTTTGAGCATACATCTGTAAGTTTGTGCCAAAAATTGGATTTGCAAAAATGAGTCATTTATTTGTGTTTTTCAGTAAGAAAACCATGTCAACAGACGATATTATGAAATAACTAACTTTCCCTAAAAAGAATGTATCTTCCAAACTTTTAGTTAAACGAGATTATTTTACTATGTGAAATAGATGACAACTGAAAGCCATTATGAGAATGAACTTTCCTACTCCGAAGTTAGTTATCACTTATGAAACAAGAGGGCTACTCGGAGAAGTTAACTTAGATAACAGACCCAATTTGACTAACTACTGTTGTATTCGCCCATTTCTGTGCGTATCTTAGTGAAACATACGGAGTATTATCCAAAAGAATTTTAAAACATACCAAAGAAATCGATAATTAGTGGCTCTAAATCCACCAGCAACGCCATAACTTTGTTTCGAAAATGAAATGAATGGTTGGTGAATTTCACGTTGGATGTCTTTAATGCTAACAATATATGTTAATTTTATAATCAGAAATATCATATAACTCATTTTTCATTGGACATACTCATAAGGACATGGTCCTTTGTACTCTTTAATAAGACTACACTTTTATTCTATAAGTTATTAACGTTCATGATAATAAGTGGTTCCATACTGTTTAAAAAAGCAGGTGGTACCGACTGAACGAATATGATGAAGTTCTTACAAATTAAGCAAAATGTGGTTATTGAGTATTCATATATGTTGGACTACCAATGATTACAGTCGAGAGAATATGTAGATTTATGTTTGACAAGAAAAAAACACTTAGTTTATTTGAGTTATTTTAAATCACAGGTCTGAACAGACTTCAAGATTTGGTTCAGGATAATAATTATTCTAAGGATCTTTGTCTAATTACAAGGAAGATAAATGTTGATTACATTCCAGTTCAACCGCAACGTTTACTAGTTGCTTATATATTTATATGGACATAAATAAGTGACTACTCAATGCCTTCTCGTGGCATTACTGTTGTTTACGAAATTGAGAGGACAAAAAGCGAATGTCCAGCACCTTAACCGGGTTGGTGGACACTGCGAGTCCACTAAAGGAAATTGGATGACCGCAACTCCAAACAATGGTGCACATGGGTTCCAGCATCCTGAATGAAAAAATGGCGTATGAATCAATGGTTGGTCACCGGCTACCATGGGACTTCATCTCCTTACGATGCACCACTGCCTTGTGGATCAGACCTTTAGATCAAAGGCTCCGGGTGTGATCCCTTAAGAAGACCACCCGCTTCACTTTGGGCACCTTGGTCGTATTACAGCCCTCACACAAGTCAAATGAGATTTTTGTGGCGCATATGTATATCTGGTGCTCCCTTGTACCAATAAATAACATAAATGGGTACTTTATTAATTGAGTCGAGTTACAGGTAAGCTGCAGCAGCATGAAGTTTAATGGTAACCCTTATAGAATAGTAATATTGCTCTGCTTTCATCTTACAATACATCACCTTGGATTCTTGATAACAGAAATTTACAAATATCATTGATATAATTTGAAACATGCACAACTTCTTGCGAGTACATCACTTTTCACCCTACTTATATGTGATTAAGATTATAAGTACTTAACTCATTTCACTAACAATAAATGAACCAACGATGAATTTGTGGTAACCGGATGAACAGAAAATAGGAAGGATTTTTCGTTACATGGTGGAAGCTACTTCAACAGAACGATTAAGTTGCTGAATTACGCTAAATTCTGTACAATAGCTAATACTTTTCACTGACGTGCCTGCGAAGCGAATTATTTAGCTCCCATATAACGTCGCTAGACGTTTTCTGATAGCTCGTCTTCACCATATACATTCATTGAGATATCACAAACAGCTTGACCGATAAAACTGGTTCGTGAAGACAAATAAAAAATTAAAACCTTACTTTACAGTCATTTCTGACGAATAGAATCCCGTGACCAGGGTATATTGGACTCGAACAAAACCAACACCTGTAAATCCTCATGCCTGTGTAGTAACAGAAGCCTCAAAACTGCCGCTCTTTAATATGGTTCAAAGGGTTAAGAATGGAGTAGAAGAAACTTTCTCTTAACACTATTCCGTATCTAGTTGCAGTGGATCACCGATACCTCTGGGCAAGAGCCTAGGTATATTATTGATAAGAGAGGAAAAAGAAGTTGGTGAATCATAATTGGATACTATCCTATTTAAAAGGACAGTGGTATTGTTTCACGTTGAGTTTAATTCACTGTTTTGATCGTAAATTACGTATCAAAACTACCGTTTACACTTTAATTGAATTTATTTCAGTTAACGTGACATTGTATTTGTGTGTTTTGATCCTGCTTTTGTGTATTTACTGCATCAATGCATTCTTGGTCGACTGAGGCTTGTTTATTTGATAAGGTTGTGATTTATCTTACATATCTACCTTGCCTATCATTTTGCTTTACTCTAAGATGGTCGGCTCTGTACACAAGTGTGGACAGCCATATTGCTTATTCCCCGTGGAAGAAGGGATGCAATGTGACGATTGTAAGAAGTGGTTTCATAAAATGTGCACCCGCTTAAGCCCTGCTGCCTATAAAAGGTGCTCGAAACCAAATTCTCATTGGTTCTGTATGTTTTGTTGCTCAAGTAAGACATTACTCATTCATGAAGCCATCAGCCTTCTAGCGTTAGCTAAAAAGGTCGAAGTAGGCCGTGCCGGCAATATGGATACTGATAATGAAGACTGTATCAGTGTCGTAAATGCTGCCATGGCAGGTACCAGACACCCAATTTCGCAACATAAAGCAAACATTTGTACTCCGATACACCAATGAAAGCCATGTCATTAAGTACTGAGGGACTAGTCGCTTTAGCAGCGACTGAGGATCCGGCTAGAACCACTATCGTCCAGAATAGTTCCAATCTGGATGCTGAGAATAGTGGCAAATGGATTACGCGGAAACGCAAAAGAGACGGAAAAATACCCAAAGAAAGCGCTCGTATAATCGGTAAGTCATCGTTGGACCCACGTCCTGAGCATCAGGCAACTCCGCTCAATTACAATTGTAAGGAAATATTTAATACTGTTGTGGATGGAAATAGTCTAACTTCACTAAATGTTGTTGGGAGTAACTCGCTTGACCCACATGACACTGTTATAAAGAAAGCTAATAGCAAGAAGCCGGTAGCTAACCGGCAGGGTCATCACGGTCAAAGGCCGTGAACACGACTTTTAAGACAGTTAAACAGGTGCCTAGTGTAATCATCTGGAACTTGGCAGAATCGAAAGACACCGATCCCGCTAAGAGACATGCCCACGACCTGCAGTTAGTCGGATCTCTCATCAGAAATATACTGCCAGAGGAGGTCCCAGGGGTACATATCTCGAAAGTCATCAGACTTGGTAAGTATGTTGAATTCGAAACCCAACAGAGAAGGATCCTCAAATTAGTACTCGGTAATTTTGAGGAAAGGGACGTATTACTAAACAACTCACGCAAAACTCGTGTCTCAAACATTCGTATTCGACCTGACTGGCCACTTGAGGATCGGATCAAGTGGAAGAATGCTCTAACACAGTTAAAAACTCGAAGGCTAAACGGTGAAGCGAACCTTACGATTAAGGGTTTTAGTGTTGTCAGGTCTTGGAAGCCAATGCTACCGAGACCTGTGTGGGTAGAACGCATGTCTCCAAAAACACCTTAAATGTGTGTTATGCGAATGCCCGTAGACTTCGGAATAAGATGTGTGAACTAAGTTTGATGGTAGACGACTTAAATCCGGATATAATTGTTATCACCGAAACTTGGGTCACTGTAGATATAGACTGTTCTCCAGTCATTTCAGGCTACATCTGTGTCAGAAGTGATAGAGTTAGAAGTCGCAAGGCAGGAGGCATAATATTATATATTAGGGACCACTTCCGCATTAACTCGATCATATCGGAGGCGCATGTATGTGGTACGTGTGAGGTAGTATGTTGTACAATTAGGTCTAGAAACGGGTTGGTGACGATAGGAGGAATATATCGTAGTCCGTGTTGTCTCGCTGACGACTTTTTCCTAAAACACGTCTGTTCTTGGAGTAAAGCAGAATGTTGTCTCATCTTTGTAGACTTCAATGCACCCCATATAACCTGGATAGAGCTCACAGCTCCAGGTGGGGGTTTCGATAGCGTCCTTCTGTCATCAATTATTCAATGTGCACTTGTACAATGTATCGTTAAGCCGACGCATATAGACTCGGAACATAATCCGTCATTGATAGACCTTGTCCTCACACACCACTGTGAAGATATCGTTGACATTCAACATCTTCCCCCACTGGTGAGTTGTGACCATGTCGTACTTTCCTTTAAGTTCCGGATACATGGTATAGAATTTGCATCAGCTCCACCCCGTCCTAATATCTGGAGAGCTAATATTCCGGCAATCAGGGACTATGCTATCTCAATTGACTGGTTGGTCGATGCTGATGGATGGATTAATGATGCATGGAATAGGTTTAAGTCTACGTTCGAATCCGTAACTCAACCGTTTATCCCATGGTCAGCACGTAAGTTATCATATTGCCCTCCATGGATTAATAAGGAAACCCGGAAGCTGTTGAAGCGTAGGAAACACTTCTGGGACTTATTCTTGTCAACAGGTCAGACATCACTTAAGTGCGAATATAAAATATCCGGAATATATGTAAAAAGACCATAGCTAAATCCCGCACGACTTACGAACGACAGTTGGCATACGATAGCCGTACCTGTCCGAAGCGACTGTTTTCGTACGTTAAAAGGCGGACGAAACGTAGTGATGGTATCCCCTCATTACTGTTAAGCGAAAATTCAGATTTATTGGCTGAATCTGATCTAGCGAAAGCGGAGTTATTTGCTAACTATTTCAGTAAAGTCTACTCTACGTGTAGTGTTACAACTACTTGTCCCGTTGACAATGAGATACCAGCCATAGGACCTTTACACGTGACAGAGGATATAGTTCTTCCTTTGATAACTAACCTAAAACCTTGTAAGATACCGGGCTCCGATGGGTTACACCCACGTTCGCTGTCGTCGCTTGCGGACATTATCTCAAGACCGCTCATGCTGCTCTTCAACATGTCCCTTTCACAGGCTCAACTACCTAGAGACTGGAAAGACGCCATAGTTAGTCCTATATTTAAGGATGGCCAGAGACGGATAGTATCTAACTACCGGCCTGTTAGCCTGACCAGTATAGTAGTTAAGTTACTTGAAAAATTAATTCGGGCTAAGCTACTGAGCCACATAGATTCGTACAATCTGTTAACTCCCGAGCAACATGGGTTTCGTAACAAGCATTCATGCTTGACTAACTTACTCATTGCGAGAGAGGATTGGACAGCTGCCCTAGACAACGGCCAGTCTGTCGACGTGATATTTATAGATTTTAGCAAAGCGTTTGATGAGGTTTCACACTTAGGTCTTATGCAAAAGCTCTCGAGCTTTGGTATAACAGGTGCTATACAGGAATGGATAGGAAGCTTCTTATGTGACCGCAGACAGAGAGTGAGGGTCAATGGAACTCTATCCGAATGGAAACCGGTCAAAAGTGGTGTACCCCAAGGCACCATCTTGGGCCCTTTACTTTTCCTTCTGTATATTAATGAACTACCTTTATTACTTAAGTCGTCGACGTTATTGTTTGCGGATGATGTTAAAATCTGGAGAACAATAAGAAATGAAACTGATCGCTGTTATCTGCAAGCAGATTTAGACGGATTAGTTATGTAAGCTCATGATTGGGGCCTGGAAGTTAATTCCAGGAAGAGCGTGTTCATGCACATCGGGCACGATATTAGTTACCACTATACCATTAATGGTACATCTCTTCCACGTGTTCATGCGCATAAAAACTTAGGAGTAATTATAAGTCACGACTTGAAAACTACTACGCACTGCAATGCGGTTGCTTCCAAAGGCTATCGAGCGCTATGGTCGCTTCGCAGAGCATTTAAATACTTTGACGAGGATATGTTTCGAATTTTATATCTCACCTATGTAAGGCCACACTTAGAATACTGTATCCAAGCAGCTAGCCCTTGTTTGATAAAGGATACTAAATCGCTTGAGCGTGTCCAGCGTGTAGGGACAAAATAAGTAAAGGGTCTTTCCAAACTCCTTTACGATAAGCGTTTAAAACGTCTAAATCTTTTCCCCTTATCTTATCGTAGGACGCGAGGTGACCTTATACTGGCATTTCGTATCTTTAATTATGATTTGGGTGTTAATATGTCTTACCTTTTTGCTCCCTCCAGCACTAATAATCTCCGGGGTCATAGCAAGAAGGTTCTGAAACCGCGATCTAATAAACTAAAGGTGTGGTTCCGTTTTTCTCATCGAGTGGTCAATGACTGGAACGCTTTACCAGAACAAGTGGTATCAGCACCATCAGTGAACATTTTCAAGAAGAAGCTGGACCTTCACTGGAAGGAAATCTGTCAGGATTAACACAGGTTCATCAACCTACTATCCTTATTACTGAAGACTGAAGACTTAATCCTTAAGAATATATCAAGTTTTCTCTCAATGGACTTCTGGTAAGTCTCTTGGACTAGCTTAGCCTGCAGCAAATTCCAATCTTTTATCACTGTTAAGGAATAGATTGTGTGTCTACAGTCCATTCTGCCGTGTTATATCTCCAGTTTCTGGGTGTTACCTCTTAGATTTGTGTTGGAGCTAAACTTAAGTAAGTGTTTAAGGTGATGACCAGAAGTGTAATGGATGCTGAAATCCATTAGAATGTCGCTTTCAAGACGCCTGTAATCTATTGGGTTGAGGTTTAGCGACTGGAGGCGCTCTTCATAAGGCTTGAATTTGAGCCTCCGAACTGGTTTCTTGGCTCGCCGTTCGATACGTTCCAGAGTATCCTTATTCTTTCGGAATGAGGGAGGAAATAATATGTTTCCCTACTCTAAATGGGAACGAACAAAACTGTTGAGGATTGTGTGGAAAGTTGCTCTTTTGAACCGACCGAAAATGCACTT